CCATTTGGAGCCCTATCTCAAATGGGTGTGAGCTCGTGGTCAAAACCTCATGATGCCATATCCTGTTGTCTTACGGTAATTGTGGAACATGTTGCTGAGGGGGATATTCCTTATACCATTCTTCATATGGATATGCCTACTGACCTCGAAGAATTGCAGAAGTCATGGATTCAACTCAAGGAAGAATGATATACCTTCGAAGCTCAATTCTATGCAAGTGAAAAGAAAGTGTTAGAGCTCACAAAGTAACTTCACTAGGAGCGAAGCCTTAATGCATACATCGACACAAAGAGGAAGCGTCAGTGGGAGACTTAAGTCTTAGGGTTTAGAAGTTCATTTTGTTGTCTCTTTGAGACTTTTTTGTTTCCATTGTAAGCCCAAGAGGCAATTGTAATTTTGAACTTATTAATCCAATCTTTGTTTCTGTTCCTTTTGGCTAGAAAATTTAAACCTCCTAAGGTCCTTGAAAACATTGCATCCACATATCATGCATCATTTCATAAGCAGGTTTTCCAATACAGGTTTCCTCATATATTTACTGTTTATTTCAGTTTAAGATGGCTCTCGAACAAACTGTCAAGGATCTGCAAACTAAGCATGCACAATTTCAAGAGACTCTTCTGAATCTGGTCAAAGGGCAACAAGAGATGATGGCGCTCCTTACCGCGAAAAAGAAGACTAAGAAATGGGTTGTTATCCTTAACATGGGGAGAAGATTCAAAGGTCCTGCTCAACCAGTTCAAGATGTTTCCTCTGAGGAAGACGACAACCAAGAGGAGGAGGATAGAAGTGTCAGGGGTTAAGGTAAAAAAAATCAGGGTTTCGAAGATGAAGACTACTCCGACGAACAGTACCCTCCCGCAGATGATAAGTACTAACAGTTAGAAGATCATCTCAAAGTTGTGGAAATCCAAAAAGTGCCTGGATTAGATTTTGGAGAGCTAGGTCTGATCCCAGGGGTGGTCATCCCTCACAAATTCAAGATCCCTATCTTTTCTAAATATGATAGGGTCTCCTGTCCCAAACTTCATCGGAAGTCATATGTTCGAAAAATCCAACCTCATATTGCTGACCGAAAATTATGGGTCCACTTCTTTCAAGAAAGTTTAACCGGTACTCAACTTGAATGGTTCTATCAACTGGAGGGAACCAACATCTACACATGTGAAGACTTGGTTGCTGCTTTCTACAAGCAGTATCAATATAATGCTGACCTAGCGTCGACTCGTGTACAATTGCAAAATATGTCCATGGGCTCGAATGAAGGGTTCAATGAGTATGCCCAAAAATTGAGGGACCTAGCTAGAAGGGTGCAACCTCCTTTGACTGACCGAGAATTGGTGGATATGTTCATGGACACTCTGACGGGTCCATTCTTTAATTTGTTGATTGGGAGTTCTTCATCAAGGTTTACTGAGCTGATTTTGACTGGAGAACGAGTTGAGAATGGTATCAAGAGCGGGAAGATTTTGATGGCTGCATCCTTTAGTACCGTGAAGAAGCCATTCATTGGTAAGAAATAAATCAACACTATCTATGGCCAGAAGAGTCGTGGTAAGAATGATCGTCATCAGTCTGTATAGGCGGTGTTGATCTCTAATCTGGCGCATGTTCAACAATTACAATAGGGTAACCAGCGTAGGCCAGACGCTCTGAGAAGGCAATTCACCAGAATTAATATGCCATTGGCTCAAGCATTGCAACATTTTTTAAAGGCTGACCTCATAACACTCTAGTATCCTCCTCCTAATCCCAACACATCCTCTCCGAAGTGCAATCCAAATGCAAGATATGCCTATCTTTCGGATAGTCATGGGCACGACACCAACAACTGTTGGGCCCTAAAAAATAAAGTTCAATACATAATGGATAATAAGGAAATTAAGTTTGACCCTCCTGAGACTCTGAACGTGATTACTACTCCTATGCTGAAGTATGACAAAGGCATAAGTGCTATCAAATATTTTTTGTATGTTACCTCCGTAAATGATGTGGTTACTCCTCTCTCAGCAGTCAAGAAGAATTTGTTACAAGCCGGTTTATTTTCAGGTTGTGTTAAAGAATGTTATTGTTATGCAGTTCAACCCAATGGCTGCGGGTTACTGAAGAAAGGAATTCAACGCCTGATGGATGAACATGTAATTTTGATTAAAAAAGTTTCGCATACTGAGAATTTGTGCCGAGGTTTGTCTGTCATATCTGGTACTCCTTTCAAGATCACCTCTAAGGGTCCTGTAAGGATTACTTCCAATCCAAAAGCTGCTCCCTTAATCATTATAAAACTTGGCCCATCCCATATTCCTCGGAGAAGGCTATTCCATGGAATTATGGGTCTGACGTCTATTACCATGGCATTAAACAAGAGTTGTCTGATGAAGATGATAAAGAGGTTGATCCCAACATTGACAATATTGTAAGGACCAGCAAAATTACTAGAAGTGGAAGGATTTTCTCTCCGGAAATTTCTCCACTTGTTCAAGTTACAGACCAAGACAGTTGCCGAAGCTCGAGGCAAAGAGCCAGTGACAGAGCCTGCCCAGACGGAGGCACCAAAAGAAGCTACAATCAAGGATACCTCTGGACAAGAAATGGAAGAGGTTCTGAAGATCATTCATAGAAGCGACTACAAAATTGTTGAACAATTGGGGTATACCCCCATCCAAAATCTCCATGCTATCTTTACTACTGTGTTCTGAAGCTCATGTGCAAGCTTTAATGAAATTTTTGAAGACTGCTCATGTACCACAAGAGATTTTTTCCGATCAATTTGGAAGTTATGTTGCTAGCCTAACGACTGACAATGGATTAAGTTTCTCTGATGCTGACCTGACTCTGGAGGGGAGGAATCATAATAGGGCTATGTACGTCTCCATTGAATGCAGGGGCACTACATTGGATCGTGTGTTGGTTGATATTGGCTCTTCTCTGAATGTTCTATCGAAAGGTGCTCTTGACAGACTAGATTGTGAAGGGGCTGTGCTGAAACTTAGCGACATCATAGTTCGAACTTTTGACGGATAAAAAAGAATGGTACATAAAGAAGTGGACCTCCCTATCAAAGTAGGGTCACGATCCTGAATAATGAAGTACCGGATTTTTTGAAAATTCCAAAAAAAAACATTCCAAAAATTTTCGATACAATCCCTAAATTTCTGATAAAACTCACGTTTTTTGAAATTTAGTGATTATTCACAAAGGTATAATGGTAAAAATATACATTATAGGGGTTCCACACACACACACACGTGTGTGTGTGTGTCTGTGTGTGTGCGTGCGTGAGTGCGTGCGTGCGTGCGTGCGTGTGTGCGTGCGTGCGTGCGTGTGCGTGCGTGTGTGTGTGTGTGTGTGTGTGTGTGTGTGTGTGTGTGTGTGTGTGTGTGTGAGAGAGAGAGAGAGAGAGAGAGAGAGAGAGAGAGAGAGAGAGAGAGAGAGAGAGAGAGAGAGAGAGAGAGAGAGAGAGAGAGAGAGAGAGAGAGAGAGAGAGAGAGAGAGAGAGAGAGAGAGAGGCATGTGAAATGAAAACAGGTCCACTGCAGTCACTTTTTAGAAAGACCGAAACAAAAAATTGAAACCTCATTCTTAATAGAAGAGAAGAAGGAAGGTGACCACACATTGAGAGACATAAAAGGATGACTCCAAAAGTTTACTTTTGTCTTCCTAAACTCATCCAAAATCTCCTCATTAAAAGCACACAAAAGGATATATCTTCCCCTTAGCTTGAATAACTAAATATGTGGAAATCCAAATAAGAAGTGTTGAAATATAAGGAACTAGACTCTTAGTTAGTTAGTATATAAAGTAGAAGGTTGATTTCTTCAACTTTCTCCACGTACAGTTGCTTTAGAATACTAATAGGATTCTACAACTTTTTATTGAAAGAATGATTTATCATCTGCCTCGAAGGGTTAACATTATTCTTGGAGGACATAGTCATATGGCATTTAAGTTATTTAAGTTTATAAGAGTTCTCTTTATTAAAATTAATTGGTACCTGATAACTTATAGTTAATAGTTGATAGTTTATAATTGGGGACTAATAGTTAATAAATTATTATGAGTGTTTTGTAAATTAATTATTTTATTAGTTAATAGATACAAAATGACATAAAAAGTCATTTTAAATAATAAGGATAATAATATAATTTTGTTAAAATAATAAGAGTATAAAATAAAGAAAAAGTGATAAGTTAAAAGCTATAAACTCAAAAGCTAAAAAACTACAAAATAGTAAAAAAGTTATAAGCTAAAAGTTAAAATCGAGTTATCAAACAAAAAATTTCATTAATATGAGCTGAAAAATTAAAAATTAAAAATTAAAAACTCTTTTTTAAATCTTACCAAATAGAGTAAGTTCTAAACCACACACCATTTACCTGTTCACATAGCTTAATCATATTCTTAACCTCAAAATATCTAACAAAACCAAATATGGCTCCAAACTTATTCCTTTTATCAAGAAGAATAAAGACTTCCCCAACCAAACCACGAGATTTGTAGTTGAGATATGGTCTGGAATTTTTGAAAAATAGAATGTGCTCAGATACAAGAGCAAGAACCCAAGAGAAAAAGACAATGCAGTGCAATGAATGAGTTTTAGGAAAATGCAGGAGAAAAGAAGAGATTGTGTTAATATGACAGCAAACTGTTTGATCCAATAAGAAAAATATAACGACACAAAGACACTAAATAATTTCAATAAGAATAGCATTAAAGACACTAAATCTTACATAAAGGTAGGATTCAAACACCATCAGATAAGATGCATGGGGGAATTTATGAAAATGCATATTGAAAATGCACATTTAGGATTTAGAACAAGTTAATGTAATGAAAAGCTCAAATTCTTGAATAGTAGATGCAAATAGAAAATTAATAGCAAAATAAATTAGAATCACACATCACCAAAATAAGTACTGATTTTCATTAGGTTCCAGAATTACAATCACACGCTTCAATTACATCGCTAAAGCTAATAAAATGAACAAAGAAAAGCTTATTCATCAACCACCAAATCCGTACAAGGTTCTTCCTTGTCTCTTCAAGGCATAAACAACATCCATGGCGGTAACAGTCTTCCTCCTAGCGTGCTCAGTATACGTAACAGCATCGCGAATCACATTCTCCAAGAAGATCTTGAGAACTCCTCTGGTTTCTTCATAGATCAAACCACTGATCCTCTTCACACCACCTCTTCTTGCCAATCTACGAATAGCTGGCTTTGTGATACCTTGGATGTTGTCGCGGAGAACCTTCCTATGCCTCTTTGCACCTCCCTTTCCCAGTCCCTTACCACCCTTTCCACGCCCTGACATTTTCAAGAGAAAATTTGAGAAATTAAGAGATTAGGGTTTAGATTTGGATTTGAATTTCAGTGGGAAATGAGATTGGGGAACAGAGTATATGTATTGGAGGAGATTGAGTTTTGTGCTTTGATATTCGTCGTTGGATTCAATTTAATCAATGGTCTTCATTTGCGATCCGTGCGTTATGCGCAAAATAATATTGAACGTCGATAACTAAATTTTGACGGTGCGATTTTAATTTTGTTTCGCTTGTGCGGATCAACACTCCTTCTTTGTGTTATTGTTGTCTTATGGTGGATTTCTTTGTCTCAACACACATCATTGTTTTTTTTATATTTTCTTTTATACAAATTGTTTTTTTTATACATTTTTACTAACCTTCAACTGCTTTTTTCGGTATACAAACCAGTAAAAATAAAACCGATGTTTTTTTTTGTTTTAATTATTATGAGATAATGAAATGCAAATTGAAACAAATAAATACTAAAATATATAAATAAAATAGGATTTAATATGTTTTCTCTCTATAAATAACTTAAACTCAAATTTATTCTCTACAAGAATTTTACTTCAAAAAAGAGTATTTCTAAAAAATTTCATCCATTTTTAATCTCTTCTTCTAAAAATCGCTAATTCAGTTGTTAATTAGAAATAGTCGTTAATTTTATCGTTAAGTTGCAGGAAGGAACAAAAGTGTGGATGAAAATTTTTAGGATGATCATTCTTTGAAAGAAATTTTTTTAAGAAAGAAAGGTGAAATATGAGATATTTAGGAGGACCACAAACATATTTAACCCAATAAAATGTATACATTGGGGAGGTTAGATTTGATTCAGAAAGAATCAACAAATCAAAAATAAACTTGGATGCAAGCACACAACCAACCTATACTTGTGATCAACTACCTAATCGTTTGAAAGTCCATTCATTTGGCCGCAATTATAAGATCAAGAAAATCGATAATTAGGTAAATTCAACCTATCTCTAAAGAATTCTTCTTTGATGAAATTAGGAATCGAATCCCACAAATGAAATTCCTGGATCACATGACCGTGATTAGCTGATAACGTGAAATTTCATTGTATTTTCGACTCGACTCGCATGAATTATTTTTCCTTTTTTAGTTATTTATGTCATTTTATACTGATAGTGTTACTGTATTTCAGGTGTTTTTCCTCAAAGAAGCTTGCATGAGAAAAGAAGAAGAATTGGCAAAGAAAACGCAAGGAAACATGAAGTAACAAAAGAGATAAAGAAAATCTGCACACAGAAGGTTGTGGCCATTGCCACACCTTTTGTGCCCCTCGCCACGCATCTCAAAGTTGTGGTCCTCGCCACGCTTCCCGTGGCCACCGCCACATGCTTCTTATAACAGGCCCATGTTGACTCTCCCACGTCAAGGCCACGAGATCATTTATGTTGTTTTTTCTCTACAAGACCAGGCCTGGAAAAAATCTCTCCACGAATAAAGCTATTTCGGATTCTTCTCGAGGGAGTTACGTGAATTAACCAGAGAGACCTATAAAAAGGGTGAGGATTAACAGTTATGAGGGGTCAAATTTACTTGAGTTTATAGCACTTTTGTTTTAGATTTTAAGCAGTAAACTCACCATTAAAGTGATAGCTTTCCACACCGAGGAGCTATTGCAACATTAGTCTTAGATTTATATTTTAACATTCATTTTGTATTTTCGAAGAAGTAAACCTTGCTGACATCTGTGGAGGATTGCAGACTTGAAGCTTTCAGTTTATATTCCAGTTTTCGTTTTAATTTAGTTTATTTTTATTGTCTCTAATTTTCAGTAATCATGCTTAGATTTATAATATGTTACGAGTATTGTATGTTTACGTTTAAAAGCATATACGGCTAACTTCCTCGGATACCGGTATGTAAAGTAAGCTAACCGAAGGGATTTGCAAATCTATTGGCACAAATATTTACAAACTTCTTTTCTAATTTTGGTTTCTAATTAAAATATTAAAACAATTTTGTTACAACAGTAAAGGACTTTACATTTCTGCAATTTATCGCTTTCGAATATAAATGCTAGTAATTAAGGTGTGTGTATGGCAAGACATGAAAACAACAAATAGACAACCTAAAAAAGCAAGAATAAATACATGCAATCAAACACACTTTGCACACATGCACCCTTAGGGTTAACTCCACATGTTGCCTAAAAATGGTCATGTTATGTCTTAGCAAAACCAATTGAAATACAAGATCATAGTCCCTCGATAACGCTATTCAAAGTTGTCTTACAAATGATCTTAGTCCCTAGAAGAAAATGCTAAGATACCTTGCAACATTGCTTTCTATGACTATACAAACACGTCCCACGCTCGTCCCTTCATATCCAACGATGGAGCTTTTTACCAAAACAATGGTAAGATAGCAACGTCTAAAGGAGGAGGAAAAGAACACCTAAGACCTTTTGAGTAGGTGGATTCGCTTCTAGTTGCTTGCTTGCTCACAACAAAAACATTTTTATACATCAACACTTTCATTTTAAAAACATTTTCGAAAGACAACACTTTGTACGTGTTCTTATAGAAACGAGAGCCATTACAAAGGATACTATTTTCAAAATACTTTCAAAATCCACATCATAAGCACACATTCAAAACAAAATCAAGTGATCTAGCAAGTAACTAAGAGCCCATGGAAAACCATGGATTAAAAGGGTGCTAATACCTTCCCTTTTCATAATCTACCCCCCGAACTCAATAAAACATCTCTAATGGTCTTTCCTGTGCTTTTTCACCTTTCCTTATTGGATAAAATAAAAGTCGGTGGCGACTCTTGCTAAACCACAACATTTGCAAATACAAATGCAAAACAATCCAGTCAGTTCTCCCACCGTATCACAGAATTGGCGACTATGCTGGGGGAAATTCTAAAAGTGGGGTTACCTTAGGGATAGATCATATTTACTTGCTTACATTATTTTATTTGCATGCTTTACATTTTTGGTTCCTTGTTTGGGTTTGTTTTAAATCCTACACCCGGATTTGGGGATACCTTTTAGGTAAGTAGCAATAGACTGTGAGGGAACTGTGCGGGGTATATCGACACGGTTGAAGCAGTAGCTACGTTGATGTGGCACTTTGGTTGGTACCGGTAACCCTTGAGTCGAATCAAGGAGAGTATGGGGCCTCCGCGTGGTGTCGTGAAGCATCAACTGACCTTAGAACCTTACTTGACCAACTTGGCCATTTGGGGGTAGTGAGATAGCCGGTTTCGGTGTAAAGCTGAAAATTGGTTGATACTCGATGTTACACTCATTGAGACTTGACTCCTGAGTTTTGTTTGGTTGCAAGTCAATTGCCTATCGAATGAAGCTTGTGGGAAAGGGCAGTGATATTGAGACCCCTTAGAACCTGGTTACTATTAACTAGGACAGGTTGAGCCAACTAAACTTCAAGAGGGTACTCACCTACAAAACTCCTTACAAGCCTAAAACTAAGGATTTGTTTGCTTTGTGAGAATATGATTATTTGTATATAAACTTGCTTACCTCGCATATTTGTACATAACATCACAACATCATACCATAGCAATTTCAATAACCATTTCAAGGATCTCGAGGGTCTTTGATACAAGATCACGTTGAACCATACGTTTATCAAGGAGCAAGAGGATTTATTTTCCTCTAACCAAAATACCGTCAAAAATCAAAGTACAACAAACCGGAGTCAAAGGCTACAACCCACTTGACATGGTGAGCTTAATTCTCGTGGAAGGACATCCACCGATATAAAGTTCTCCAATCCAAAATTGTAAGTGACTACTAACCCTGCGAGATCCTTAAAAACACGCATCCACGTATCATGCATCATATCATGACAGGTTTCTCCCATACAAGTCTCCTTATCTTCATACTGTTTATTTCAGTAAGATGGATATGGAACAAACGGTGAAAGATCTCCAAGCTCAAAATGCTCAATTCCAACAAATGTTCCTGGCTATGGCTAAAGGGAAAGAGGACCTGAAGACCCTTCTTCTCAAAGACAAGAAGAAAAATTCCAAGAAGTCAGTAGGCATCCTGAACTTGAGAAGAAGACCTAGAGGACCAGTTAAGGGAGCTCTAGATCTTTCAACTCCAACCAACATGGGGGATAATCATGAAGAAGACAACAGTCTGGAGATTGATGAAGTCCAAGCTGACTACTCAGAGGAACAATCTCCTCCCACTGTTGACAAGTACAAACAGTTGGAGGATCGCCTCAGTGCTATGGAGATTCAACAGATACCCGGCTTAGATCTAGGAGACATGGGTTTGGTTTCTGGAGTGGTCATACCCCCAAAGTTCAAAATCCTTACCTTTGCCTTGTACGATGGAGTCTTTTGCCCTAAGATGCACTTAAAGTATTATGTCCGCAAGATTCAACCGTACACAACTGATCCAAAGCTTTGGATCCATTTCTTCCAAGAAAGCCTGGTAGGGACTCAACTCGAATGGTTCATCAGTTGGAGAGTTCTCGTATCCACACCTGGGAGGATTTAGCTACTTCTTTCTACAAGCAGTATCAGTACAATGTTGATCTTGCACCAACTCGTGTGCAATTGCAGAACATTACCATGGGTTCCAACGAGAGCTTCAAAGGGTACGCCCAGAAATGGAGAGATCTGGCTGGTAGGGTGCAACCCCCTTTAACTTACAGGGAGATGATTGACATCTTTATGGGAACCTTGACGGGACCTTTCTTTAAACACATAATCGGAAGCTCCTCAGCCGGGTTCACCGAGCTAATACTGATCGGCGAAAGAGTTGAAGTTGGCATCAAAAGTGGAAAGATCCAGAAAGGACAACTATCTCATCGACCAACCTTTTCAAGTTCCAGATTAATACCTGTAACAAGTCAGGAAAACTATCTGAGGATGACTGATTGTATATTAACACCTGAAACCAGACAGAACAACTATCTACTTGACCATCATGAAGCAACCCTACACAGGTTCCTTCTTAGGAAATTTCAGATGAAGTTTTACACGGACTCATCATCAG